AACTTTGCTGTTATAGCATTAACATTGCTGCACTCAGTGAGACCTGACTGGCAGGAGAGGGTTCATTACAGGAAGCAGTGAGTGGATATACATTCTTTTGGAAAGGGAAACCACAGACTGGCAATAGGATTCATGGAATGGGTTTTGCAATCAAAACTGCTCTGCTGAAGAACATAATTTGATTCAGGTCACAACCAAAATCGGTTGGCGACCAAATTTGTAGGGATCAGAAGCAGGAAGCAGTGAGTGGATATACATTCTTTTGGAAAGGGAAACCACAGACTGGCAATAGGATTCATGGAATGGGTTTTGCAATCAAAACTGCTCTGCTGAAGAACATCTTTACTCTACCCACTGGAATAAATGAACTCATTATGAAGTTGTGCTTTCCTCTCAGCAAGTCCCGGTATATCACCGTTGCAAAGCCTATGCACCAACTCTCATGAGTCCAGACGAAGACAAAAAACGTTTCTACAAGGACCTGGACCAGATTATTTGAACAATCCCTGCCAGCGACAAACTCATCATCCTGGATGACTTCAATGCTAGGGTGGCGACAGACAGCAACAGCTGGGACGGAGTCCTCAGGAGACATGGGGTGGGAAAACTAAATAGCAATGGCCTGCAAATGTGCTGAGTACAATCAGTTTATTGTCTTTCTAAATCAGGATGCTACCCCCTGCTGTCATCTGATGGGTCAAGCCTGATCAAAGATCAGGAAGGACTGAAAAAACGCTGGGCTGAATACTTTTCCAACCTACTCAATAGGCTGTCCACAGTTGATCATGATGTCTTACAGCAGATTTCTCAGCTGCCAGTCTTGAATGCCCTAGACCTGCCTCCCTTTACTGATGAAATCAAGAAAGCGATCTTGCAGATGAACTCAAATAAAGCAACAGGACAGGGTGGCATTCCTGCTGAGATCTACAAAGCACTAGACTTAAACGCCTTACAGGCATTCCAAGACATCTTGGAAGACATTTGGTCCACAGAGTAGATGCCGGATGACTTCTGCAATGCCCTCATTGTGGCTCTCTACAAAAATAAGGGAAGCAAATCAGACTATGGAAACTATAGGGGTATCTCACTGCTATCCATTGTAGGCAAGATCAATTCTCCTGGACAGACTTGTCACTGTCTCAGAAAGGAACCTCCCAGAGGCGCAGTGTGGCTTTCGGCCAGAACAGAGTATAGCAGACATGATATTTGCCATGAGGCAAGTCCAGGAGAAGTGCATCGAGCAGAACAAGCCTCTTTACTGTCTTCATTGTCCTGACAAAGGC